GGCAGGAAGCTGACTTGGACAAAACTGGTCACCATACTTGCAGCTGAAATCAAAGACGATTTCACAGTGACAAAGGCCACCATGGGCATCTTCCATAAAAGTGGTATCAGTGAGATCTAGGTGGAAATAATTAATCATTACTAGACTGGGAAAAGAGGAAAAGAATGCTCAGAGACGGAGGCTTGGGAAATTTTTTTCTTAGGGGCCATAATGTAATTAACCATTGATATTTGTTGAGCACTTATTATGTGCCAGGAACCTTGCTTGCATTATCAAATGAATCATTTCTCCAACTGTATATATTCAGAAGTACTATTGTTCCCATTTTGCAAGAAAGAAAAGTGAAGTTTATGAAGTTTTGAACACTTTAAGGTCTATGGATAATAACCTACTTCATTTTAAGTGTTTGTCAATAACTTACACTTGCATATTTGTGTTGGAATACACACACATACACACACACAGTTAAACCACATATGAGGATTTCCAGAGACTGTATGTACATGTATACGGTTTATTTAATCCCCCATCCATTTCTTCATAGATAACAAAGCACTTCTAGAATCTTCAATGAATGCATTTCTTTTATTTAAAAAAAATTTAAACCAATTAATCTATGTTTTTTCAGCAAACACATAGACTAGAAATGTAGAAATTAAGAACATTCAGATACAGAGAATGGAGCAAAAACCAACATGCCATCAAAGGCACAGAGCTAAATTAAATCAATGAAAAGTATCATAAAGGGGAAAGCTAAAGCATTTAAAGACTATAAACTCATTTCAGACCAAAATATAAATCTTATCATAAAATTCCCCACATCTTTAATTTGGAGGCTCTTGATCACACTGTAGGGAGGAAGCTAAGTTTAATTTAAGGAGTTTTGTTCAATCATCCCTACTTTCTTTAACATAAGAGCAGGGAGGGACAGAGAATGACACAGATGACATCCACAGAGGGACAGAGGAAGGAAAAGCAGAGATATGATCCTCCCCACTGACACTTGGATCAGCCTCTGGGAGACTGGTTAGCCAATGCCACCCTCCCTGGAATACAGCTGGTTTGTAATTAGTTTAGGCAGTGGAGGCTTCCATCATTAAAATAATGACCACTGGACACTTGCCACAGTCAGGATAATGTTTTGTAACCAAATTAAATCTGCTCACGAGCTTGATCAGGAGTCTATTTATGGTTAGTCATCAAATGGCTTTCAGGGTATTTGGATCATAATATATGAAAAGACACAAGGTAAGTTGTTCACACACAGAAGGAAAGAAAGACACAGCTTTTTGTTAGCCACGGGGAATCTGTGTTAGCAGCTGGAGACTGGAGGACAGTGAGTACAGAAGAAAAGGCTTCCAAATTGACCCTTGAGGAATCACATACATGTTTCATAAAATAACAATATTAAACCCAGAGGCTTTAAAATGCATATGACTTCTAGTTCAGCAGAAACCACGATGCCGAATTCTGAGTTCCTCAAAAGCAGGAATCTCCAAGTCAACCATTTTTACACAAGAGAGTTTAGCACATTGTCTGTAGCAATGTGAGTACTCAGAAAAGCTATCCCATGAACTGCCATGCTATTATAATAATGAGGAGAGGACAACATAGGAATACGGAAGATCTTTTTGATCTCCTGAGAAGTGAAAATGACATGCAGATGGATTGCAACCATGTGTAGAAAACAGGCAGGTTTAAAGACAAACAGAAGATAAGGTGGCAAAAGTGAAAAGAATGGTATTGGGTGTTGGGATTTTGCAAGCATTTGTTGTTTTTGTTTTTTCTAAAATTGTGTTTAATGTTGTCAGAATGTCGTCTTTCCAATTTTAACATCTAAAAATGCCTTTATGTGGGAGGGAAGGAAGGAACCGGAGAGGGAATGAACTGCTAGTTTATAAGCTAGGGTTCAAATGCCACTGCTGAGCACTGGAGAACTCACAGAAGGCCCAGCCAAGAACTCCAGTTGTAGATTCCATCTCTCCTTCCCTCTTCCTTATCGCACTGAATTGCTTACCTTTTCTAAAATGTACTGTGGGTTTTCTTTATTTATTTTTTTGAACATACTCATCTCACTACCTGGAATGCCCTTCTTTCCATCCATTCTTCATATAGCTAAATCCTACTCATTTTTCAAAACATAACTCAAATATTCGCTTTCTGAGAACTGGTCCTGATTTCCCACACCCTATCCCAGTCTCACTTTTGGGCCACATCTCTGAGTTTCTATAGCAACTTACGCTTACCTCACTGGTGTACTTGCCTTTCTCCTTCACTAGCCTGGATACTACCTACAGATAACATAAAGATACCTGGGGCTACAAAGGCCAAGGGATGACCCACTGTCGTTTTTGCCAAACTGTGACAGTGTGGTCACTTAGTCAAGACTCTTTTGGTTGCAAGTAATAGATATTCCTTGAAACTACTTTGAGCACAAAAGGAGAATTTATTTATAAGGACACAGAGACACTTCTCAGAGCCAAGGTTAGAAAGCGTAGACACTGAGGTCTGGATCCTGGAGCTAGAAAGCCTACAGAATCTAGCCAGCTATTCTCTTAGTCAATCAGGCTTACTCTATCTTCCTCCTCCCTCCCTGTAACCTCACAGCTTTTTAACCTGCATCTCTCATCTCTCTCTCTCTCTCTCTCTCTGTTGTATAGTGGCTAATATTGTGAGTTCATACTACTTGGGTTCATGCCTGCCTCTCCCATGAATAAACTACATGACTAGATGACCGTGGGGAAGATTATTAAATATTAATACTTAACCTCTCTGTAATTGTTTCCTCTTTTATAAAATGAGAATAAGAAAAAGACCTACCTTATACAGTTACTATGAGGATTACTGAATTAATCTAAGACAAGCTTCCCACAGCTCCCAAGTTTGCCCATCTACCCAGTCTATCTGCAAAGATGCTTTAGCCCCATGTAGAACTTGAGAAAGACAATCTGACTGGCCCAGTCTGAGGGAGCTGTGAACCACCATTTACTCACCCATGGCCATGGGAACCAAGTTAAAAACAGGACCACCGGGACCCATCCTTGAAAGCAAGAGTTAGTGGCAGTCCTTAGAGAAAGAGGCCTAAGGGTGAGCTGACACCACAGACAAACAAAAGCCTTCGACAGCCACCAGCTTATCCTCCTGTGAGCAATTTATCCCTGCTGTGGGCCTGTCTAGGTTGTAGCTGGGCCTTTTCACCTCACAGCCCAGGGTAAGGCTCTTTTTAAAATGCACAGCTGCCTGTCAGCCCACAATGGCACTGGAGGGAGCTCCACATGAAGGCTTAATGGGGAAGATGGTGACGCTGACAAGTATGATGGTGGCACAACAGGCACAACACCATGGGCTGCCATTGCTTCCCAGCAGTTTGCTGCGGGGTCTGTGGCTTGAAGTTGAAGTCAGCACATCCTTCTAACATGGCTCATGTGGCTTGGCTCTGGGGCCCATTCTTATCAGATCCTGTCCAGCTGCTATTTAGGTAGATTTATACCTCACTAAATCTGTTGTCACACAAGGGCTTCCTCCTCACTGGCAGAGTTTAAAGAACATAGGCACAGCATCCAATAACTCAAAGAGGAAAGGCCTCCAAAGAAAATTAACCATTTGATTTCAAAATAGTAAGTTGCTGTTCTAGAATTTCTACATCAACGAGATCAGCTGAAGAAGTTGCATCTTTAAATAAAAGAAGAACCACAGCAGGGGACTTAATAGCCCATAAAATTCCCTTTCCATTTGTTTTATCATGATATAATCTCTTTAACACAAAACAAGAATTATAAACCAGTATATCTTTATTATAGACCAAATGTTAGTATCCCCCTAAAATTTATGTGTAGAAATTCTAACCTCCAATATGATGGTATTAGGAGTGGAGACTTTGAGAGGTTATTAGGTTATGAGGATGGTGCCCCTACATGTGAAATTAGTGCCCTTATAAAAGGAACCCCAGAGAGCTCTCTCTGCTCTCTGCCATTTGAAGATACAAAGAGAAGATGGCCAACTACAAAATAGGAAGAGGGCCCTCACCAGACTCCAGATCTGCCAGCTCCTTTATCTTGGATTTTTTAGCCTCCAGGACTGAGAAATAAATGTTTTTTAAACCACCAGACTGTGACGTACTCTGTTATAGCAGCCTGAGCTGCCTAAGAGAATCTTCGAAGTCTGTTTAAACACATTTAATCCCACTGAGTCCTCAAAACAGCCCTGATGGCAGGATATTGTTATCATCAATTCACAGAAGGGGAAACTAAGGTTTAGAAAGTTTTAGCACTTTACATAATCTTTACGAAGATTATGTAAGCCAAAAGTAGTAGAACTATAATTCAAACTTAATTTGGCTAACATCTTGCTCTAGTGCTTTTTCTACTGTACCACTACTGTCACTCACTTTCTAATTTCCAACCAAGAATCATCATCTGTCAACTATTCATGAAGACACAGTTTAGCACTGGTATTCTGTGGCAGGACCAAGTAAGGCAGGCTCCATACCTTTCCAGTCAGGTTCATATATTTACCTTCCATGCAGGATTCTACTTCAAGAAACTAAGAAGTGTGTTGTCTTACTTCTTTTACCACAAGCACTAACTCCATCATCATTACATTTATTGAACACCTACTAGGTACCAGACTTTGGGATAGTGCTTTATGAGTATTATCACAAGTAACCCTCATATTGACAAAGCACTTTTATTACGCCCATTTACAAATCAAGAAATTGAGACTCAAAGCCATTAGCCTCACCCAATGTCACATAGCAAGTAGTGAGGCAGAGATTCCAAGCAATACCAGATTCCAGACTCTAAATTGCAATTACTAATTTTAGAGACATCAATTCCAGGACCATAATCGAGATCTCACATTGCTCTCTTTCATAAAACTATCCTACCTTTTAATTTTTAACTCTCAATGATAGGTAAAATACACTAGCAACTACATCTAATCCTTTGTAGAAGTAGGCAGGAAAATAAATAGCCAGGATTTCTTTTAAGAATTTTAATAACAAGACTATATTTTCAGGGATCATTTCTATAGTTCATTACTAGAGAAGTTTCTCTGAATGTGTAGAGCATCAGAAACCACAAGGAGGAGGAGCAGCATTCTCTCCTGAGCGTGAAGCTGGCTCTTGGTGTTGCTTTTAGTGCAATTGCCATTTGCCATTAATGATCGTAAAAAATAAATAAATAAATAAAAATTTTAAAAAAGGAATTTTAATAGCACATAATAAATGCTTTAATAAATTTTGCTGTAGCATGAAGCAATCTTATGATGAATGTTGAATCCTGGCTCATGTATATGTGATACAGTAGAGTTTATGGTAAACATCACTTTAGGGAATGGTGTTTCTTTAAGTGGATTTCAATAGGAAGAACACTCTAAAATCAGTCATCATCACTGAGCACAGTTATTTGAAAGCCTAAAATTTACTTTTAGAAAATTTGTTGGGAAAAGACTTTAAAAATGGCAATGTTTACATAGATCAAAGACAACCTAAATATTTAGCTTATCACCAGCTATAAGGATAAAGACTTTTAACAACTGTTTGTGAATAGCAGGGCATAAAAAATGATAAAAGACAATGAGAGGTGATATAGTATAGGGGCACGGATGGGGCAGCCTGCCCTGATGGGAAGTCCTAACTCTGTCATTTGCTAGCTATGTGGCTTTGGGCAAGTTCCTAAACACCCTGAACTTATTCAGTGGTCCATAAAATTTGAATACTAGTGGTACCAATTAACCTCAAGTGATTTCTATACTTGGTAACCAAGAGCTATGTTGATGATAAAACATGATAAAGATGATGATGAAATCGATAACAATGATGACAATGATCTGTCTGCTTTTACCACCAAAATAATGGGTAGATGGCAAATATGAGAAAAAAACATAGAATAAGTAAAGATGATACAGGGTTCCCTTGAAAGGTCCCCCCCTTCAAGACTGGACAGGGACCCTCCATTTCCTAGGCCTGAGCAATTTCATGTAAGTTTCCTAGCCTCAGCAGTTTTATGTAAGCCCCATTCTCTCACTGCCCATAGCTGGAGGGATTGCATTCATTTATTAATATATTCATTAACATCAAAAAGGGATCTTTCATCTACTAAGTCCTGGCCGAACTAATTCTCAAAACCTCATACCCTTAGACAAAAGACCCATAAGGAGACGTCCCACTTGGGTCTTTTCCTCTGCTAGAAGTTCTGGTGCTTTTTATTTCTTCTGTATTCCTTTCTATCAAATAAATCTCATTTTATCACTGAATTGTGGTCCATGGGTTCATTCTTTGAATCCCTGAGACCAAGGACCTACTGCAGAAATTCTGTCAACAGGGAGACACAGTCTTTCTGTAGCTATCCCTATTAACTAAGAGTATGTAGAAATTTTTAATGACTGGTGAAGGTGTATATACAACCAGCACTGAACACACCATCCTTTGTGCTGCTATTGAAGATATAAAAGATGAAACATGAAGAACAGCTTGATCATAAATAATCAAAGAGAGGGGGTAGGCTCTTTGAGGGCAGAAACCATCTGGGTCCTACTAACCAATGAATCCCCAGCACCTAGCACAGAGGTTGGCAAGCAGCAAGCATGCTATCAAAGTGCTGAATGAACGCAAGAATGCATGCATGGATGCACCCTGGGTGTGACTGCAACCAAAGCCCAAAGCCCTTGGTGTGGGTTTTACTGTTCTCCTTCATTAGCCATCTAGAAGAATGTTCTACTTTACTGGTCATCACCAGCACTGAAATAATGAAAATACAAGATCATAACAAAATAATATTTTAAACATACATACACACCAGTTCATTAAAAATAGACTAGGGAGTATTTTACATTGTGACACTAGGGAGCATCATTACTTTGAAATGTCACTTTTTGCTTTAATTAGTATGCTCTAATGATAAGTATATGTCATTCTTATCTTATGAAAGTCTTGAAATATATGGAATCTGGGTCACAGCCTTCTCTGGGAGGTACACGGAGATGTACAAAGAACAAACAGAATGCATGTGTTGATGTCAACTAGTTTACTTATCTTTATTAATATAATTGCCAAAGTTTCAAGTTTTCAAATTTGAAAGTCAATTTGTTCAACACACCCAGAACACTCAGTACAGTAATTTGATCTTCTTTCACATTTCTCAAGACGGCCCATGCTGTTTTAGGGCCATGTGAAGTTTCCCACCATTTCTTTCAAGCTGACTCCTGGAGGTATCACTCAGAACAGGACCACCTGCCTGGAGGCATATTTTTAATAAAGATAACAATAGATCTGCTTGCTCACAGGGAAATTTATAAGGCTGTCTTTGCTTCTTTCCACCTATTGTGGTGCTTTATCCAAGTAGAATGTACACTCTTTGGAGCTTCAAAGACAACGATAATGGACTTCTCCTTTTCAAAGAGAAGTCTTAGTTGTCTGCTCCTTTCATTCAACAGTCAGAATATAAAAGACCCAGAGTGATACCGACAAATACCTCTGAGCTGCTTGTTGTGGCAATATCAGATAAAGAAACTCTGTAGCCCAGTGAGATATTTGATGCGTTCATTTGAATGTCAATACCAAGCACCCTCTCCCAGCCACTCCACTGAAGCAGTGAGAATGTCTCAGAAACAGAACACAGAAGTTATCATTTTGGATGTAGCATCAAGTTCCTTTTCACAGTCTGAGGGGTGGCAGAAGGAGGAGAGAGAAAGAAATGAAGAATAGGATGTTCTCTGCTTTGTTGCCCCGATTTGGTAAAAGATGTAAGTCTTTTATAGTTTTGTCAATTGGCTGACCCAGAGGAGGCTCCAGCTTTCTCCGGATCATAATGGTAATGTCAGTTCTCAAAATCAGATATGAGGTTTTTACCAGCTTCCGGTCAATATAGTACTTGGTCACCCAGGGCTTCATTCTTTGGCCAATATGCATCACCGTAATGACTTTAGTCCAACCAGGTCCCACAGGGGGCTCTCATTTGCTGCTCAGGTCTCATGCAGATCAGCTCATTCACACACCCCCACATGACCAATCACACATCTCCCTGACTCAGGCCTCTCTTTGCTCCTTCAATTGCAAAGCAATTTCTCAGGGGGACTCAAAGCCTCTCCAGCTTTTCACAGAAATGTCTCATGGAGATATTATCTTAAAATGCTTTCTCTTAAAGAAAACTTTTTTTTGAACTGAGAATTACACGCTGTGCTAAAATAGGATGGTGGCGGTTCTGATTATATCTTTTTTTCCCATTTTGGTTTCACTCTTTAAGTATAGAAAATACTAGGTTGCTCTTTCCTCTATCTCCCTTTCTTCCCTGATACTAAAAGTTTAGTTTGCTGAGTCAGAAATAAGGTTCACCACTAAACTTCTCTCTTTTATCTTTTTCCCCCTAATATTTAAGAACAGTGTGATTATGCGTCATTTCATGCTCCCATGTGCTCCTGAGAAGGCATGCAAAATGAATCATGTCAATGATGTGTTGAAACATGATTCTAATCACTGACATGGAGAAAAGATACCAGGGTTCTACTTTCAGACTGCTAACAGACTGTGATTACTTTACCTCCTCTTTTAAATGAGTGAACTGGAGATATTCCAGCTCGCCTCTAAAATTCTTCTTTGTGTTTCAATACCTCAGGGCACAACAACATAACAATATGATGAGAAAACAAGCGACCACTAAAAATAATCATTACAGGCTAGTGGCTCACACCCTGTAACCCTAGCTCTCTGGTAAGTCAAGGCAGGAGGATGGCTTGGGGTCAGGAGTTTGTTCAAGACCAGCCAGAGCAAAGCAAGACCCAGTCTCTACTAAAAATAGCTGAGTGTGGTGGCAGGTGCCTATAGTCCCAGCTACTTGGGAGGCAAGAGGATTGCTTGAGTCTAGGAGTTTGAGTTTGTTGTGTGATAGGCTAAGGGTATGACACTCTAGCCTAGGAGACAGAGCAAGAAAAAAACAGGGTTATAAAAATGATATAGAAAAAGGAAAAATAATGTTGAAATCTATCTAAAATAAAAAATTATTCCACAAATCATATGTACATTAATATTTTTCTCACTGGGATTTTTAACCATGCAATATCAAAAGGGAGTGATACATCAGGAGTAACTGTTAACATTTAAAATTAGGCTGTTAGCCTTTAAAAGCCATATTTTAGGGGAAAAGTTAGATCTCTGATGCATAGTCAAAAAAAATTAACCTCCAAAAAAAGCCTTTAAAAAGTTGGATTTAAGTTTTTCCCTTCTTTTACTACTTTATTGATGGTTAATAATAAATATCTTATACTGATAGAATCAGATTGCTGACCTCCCAGGGTAGAACTGACCTGCCCAGAAAGAACCAAGTATATGTCCAATCCCTGAATGGACCAATCCCTGCCTCTTTGACCCTTTAAACCCCAATCTGCCATAGCCTACATGTGGACTTTCTCCTTGTCAGGAATTGCACCCCACCTGCACCAAGGTGGAATAAAAGCCACCTTGATCACACAGAACCAGGATTCCGTTTTCCTTTCATCTTGTACTTGGGAATAATCTTTCATCTTTGGGTCCAGAACCTCTCCTATAGTGCTGCGACTCAGATGGGGAGACGCCCCCTTGGGGGGCTGAAAATATACCCCATTAGACTCAGCCAAACAGACCCTTGTTCCCACAAGATGAAGGGAACAGGACAACCTCCGAGCCTGCCTAAAATTCATCTATGTAATGGTGAGGTGAGCCTCTTTCTAGAACGCCTTTTCTAAACGTCTTTTCTCTTCCCCTCTCTACTCTAATTCCTCTTCTCATCCCTCTCTCTCTGTGCCTTTTTAAAGCATTCATATGTAGTTTCTCAGCACCTTTTAAAAGCTCCTTTTCCTCTCCCCATTTTAGGTTGAAAATTCAGTGCTCTGTCTCTCTTCTGGTCACAGATTAACCTCCATGCTCCAGGCTTGCCCATACGATTTCTTACTGTGGGGCTGGGCCATTTATGGTGGTCTGTGTCTTTTCTAGTCACAGGCTAACCTCAGCAAGCCAGGCTCACCCGTCTGGTGCTCTACTGTGGGCCTAGACCCTTCAGGGTGGTTAAGGTCACATGCAGAAGCCAGGCCCTTTTTGACCAAGATCACATGTGGAGACCGGGTATTCTCCCTGATCCCAGCCTTGGCAAGCCAGGCTCACCTGTCCCACCCTTTTGTGGGACTGGACCATTCTCAGTGTGCCATATCTCTTCTGGTCATGGACTAACCCCCATAACCTGTAAG